ACAAACAACAAACAACAAACAAACAACAAACAACAAACAACAAACAACAAACAACAAACAAACAAACAAACAAACAAACAAACAAACAACAAACAAACAACAAACAAACAAACAAACAAACAAACAAACAAACAAACAAACAAACAAACAAACAAACAAACAAACAAACAAACAAACAAACAAACAAACAAACAAACACACAAACAAACAAACAAACAAACAAACAAGCAAACAAACAAACAAACAAACAAACAAACAAACAAACAAACAAACAAACAAACAAACAAACAAACAAACAAATAAACAAACAAACAAACAAACAAACAAACAAACAAACAAACAAACAAACAAACAAACAAACAAACAAACAAACAAACAAACAAACAAGCAAGCAAGCAAGCAAGCAAGCAAGCAAGCAAGCAAGCAAACAAACAAACAAACAAACAAACAAACAAACAAACAAACAAACAAACAAACAAACAAATGGAACCTACACAACAACAACAAAGTATTCAACTCCGTTGTAGATTATCGGTGGTTTTGCTGCAAAAGAACTTGCTGCCTACTCGAAAGCCGGGAGTGTAGCTGAACAAAGCTTTTCCTCGATCAGAACTGTCGCTGCATTTGGTGGAGAGGCAGAACAAACAAAAAAGTAACGTATAATTTATGTTCTTTTAAAAGTACGAAGTCAAGGATAGCTCTATCAGTTCTTAACTGTTCTCAGGGCCGTAGCAACCGCGGCGAGGGTGACCCCCCCCCCCTCTCCCCAATAATTGTAAATAATGGTAACAATCGTGTCTCAAATAAATGTCACATAAGTTTGATTGAAAATTAACGTGACAATCGTATGTAATACGGGAAATAATTAGCATTCAATATTATATTCAGGTTAATAGTGGTATAAGTTTAGCATCAGGACCGATACTAAAATAATTTTTTTGACAAAATTTTGTTTTCTTTGACAAAATTTTTTCTCCACAAAACTGCATATTGGCACTCCAGTCAGAGGGGTGAAAGCAATGCATACACCACCAGTAGTACTTAAAGATTGTATATATAATTTGTTTCGTTTTAGGTACGACATTCATTTGACTAAGTCTTGTAAATTTGGAGTAAACAAAGGATTTGGAATCGGTATTGGAATGGGAATATTTCAAGTAACTACTCTTGGAAACTACGCTTTCTCTTTGTGGTAGGATATTTTTAGTCACCGTGGACCTGAA